GGTACTGGCTTTGTGAACACACATCAGGTCTGTATCCTTATTACCTTACTACTTTGTGAGTAAAAAATGACAGAAAACTGCAGTCTCAAAAGACTTTACCTATTTTGTGGTACAATTCTGGCAGCTGAACCTCCACTTTCTCTCTCTGGAAAAGATGATATTCAGCTTGTTCACATACAGGTGGAATCATATTAAACTGTCTCGCCACAGAATAGGCTTCCTGTAGAAAATCAATACAACCGGACAGAACGGCACATTAACGGAGACTATCCTTGTGGGATAGAGCATACCAATCAATGCTTGCACACACAACTAGCACATCACAGACCTCCTTAAGGACCAGGGTATGCTGACAAATGAAGACTCCAAGGCAAGACACGTTTCCATTCCCCAATTTTCTGTTTAAATAGCTTGTTTGCGCTTTGTTTTCTGTGCATTCCAACAAAAAACCAGCACATTTTCAAGGCATTTTGAACCTAAGTTAACTCTCCAGCATGTCAGTGAAAAGGCTCTAGGTAACAGCAATGGTCCTTGGATCAAACCCTTACTGGTCTAAAAATGAATGGTTTAAAAATATATAAATTCTGTTAATTTCATACCCTTTTCAACCTGCAGCTGGGAGTGCGTAGTATGATGCTACTTTGAAATAGAAACACAATGTAAACCTAACACTTTCTGCCAGCAGCAGTGCATTGGGAGCACTCTCATTTTCCCTCCTTTTGGCCTGTGACACTAGAGAATGTTTCTGATTTTATTTCAGCAGTGATTTGTCATTGTGGAATGTAGTAAGGGGCTGCGGACTCTGGATACGTGGTGCCCAAAAGCATATGGGACTGGACTTGATGGCTTAGGAGGCTCCTTCCAGTTCTCTCTTCCTATGGGGACCATAAGAGCTCATATTCTTTTTCTAGCATGCAGCCTTGGAAACCTTAATACAATTGTTTCTTTTACTCTACAAGAAGGGATTGGAATTCCTCAGCCTGTCAGATCCAGGTCCCCAGAGTCTGCTATATATGACTGTTAAACAGTGCTGGCTGACCATAACCAATTGACATGTTTTAAAACTTTTCTACCTTAACACATTTAAATACAAACAAAAGAAATCTAATGTCTACATGGTCTAAATAAGGGTACCGGGGTTGTGCTTTTAACAATGTACAGACAGTGGATGCTCAGAGTCTGTCTTCAGATGATCAGTCCTATAAAATATCTCTCTATTACCTAATTTTTTCAAAGGGCTTTTCTGCATCAAGGATTTATTTTTAGGTGCTACACTGGTACAAAGGAGAACTAGTGCTAGGGTATTATACTCTGCTGTGAGAGTACCAGCTCTGCCACCTTAATCCATCCTAAAACTCATTTTACACTATACTTGTTACTGGTTTGGTGGGATGGATTTTAAGACCAGTTAGAATTTTCCACCCAGTATAGACAGGTAAATATAAATCAACCTCCACCCTGAAGCTCTGGATGAGATTTAGAGGATGTTACAAAAATCTCCATTATTTTTTTTAAAAGTTACTTTACCATGATCTCCATAGCACTCCAGCGTGAAGTTCCCCAGTACATCGCCATTCCCTGGTTAATTACGTGTGTCATTGCTCGGACAATTTCTAAAGAAGAAGAAAAAGATTGGTATACTCTGAAATTCCACATTAACCCATTTATTTAGCACTAGAACTACTTCATATACAACTGCAAAAAACAGAGCACATTTACACTTTTTACCAGCAGGTACAGTTATTTCTAAATAAGTATCAGCCCAAACCAGAATGTTAATATTTCTTATCTAGATAAGATAGATAAGACTGGCTTAAACTGTGTGGCTGTTTTTCAGCTTTCAAGCCAACCAACATCGGACATTTGGACCTGGCACGTTGGAATTAGATACCGCTCTTTCTTTAATAGTGTAAATCAGGAGTAACTACTAAAGCCAATGTAGTTTCAGTTGTATAACCAGCATGGAGGTAAGAAGCAAGACCCTTGGCTTGGACTGGTGTACTAAATTGCAGCTGAGGTGGTGAATTTCTCAAATCAGGTAGGATTCAGCTCCAGGGTCTGACTCAGGCCCATCTCCACAGTAAACACATAGATATTAAAGTTCACTGTGGGCTGAGAAATTATGCTAAATGGTCAGTAAGAAAAAAATGTCAACCCTAGACAGCTTTGTAGTTCATATAGAATCGTATAAATAACTCTTGTAACAACATATTCTAACTTCAAATATTTCTGCCACTTTGATGGGGGTGAAGTTGGTTGATAAATGTAAATGTAAAGAGAGTGACTGTGTAGTGGGTAAATGTAAATTGTTTCTTTCTAAACAAGGGATTACAGATCATGATGCCTATTTCTGACATTATTTTTTAAACTTTAATAACACAAGAGGGCAGCATGGTAGAAAAAGAGGTCTGGAAAATGTAATGACTAAAAAAACCCCATGATTTAAATTCAACATATTTTAAAATTATGTTTTATTAAATGCAAATACTCAGTCTTTTTTCTTTTTTAATAAGGCTATCAAGGTGCCAGTGGTGAAACATAAAGCTGGGTAATTGGCTTGATTTATGCTGATCATGTGTGACGCCCTAAGGTACTGGTACTTCAGAAAAAATACCTCTTCATTGTACTGTAATACCTTTATTCCACACCCAGGTATTTGATTACCTTTTCCTTTCTCTGAAAATTCTAAAATCTTTTCGATATTGTAACTAGGACCATGGGTGGTGATACTTCATTGATTAATAAAATATTTTGCACAGAAAGTACCTTTCTTCTGTAGACTGCAGAGATCAATACAAAGGAGCATAAGCATTATTCTTCTTATACAGCAATACAGGAGCTAAAGTCTAGAGGTTTAGTGAACTTGTGTATAGCTGCACAGAGAGTCAGTGGTTCAGTCACGACTAGATCTGACTTCCAGGTTCTTGCAGTAGCGTAACAAAGCGGGGGTGACCAAGACACCAGGTCTAGGTGCCAACCCTTCAGGCTGGGGTGATGCAAAAAATTCAGCTGCTGTCACCAACAGCACAGCCACTATGCTGCTCTGTGTGTGGCTGCTGCCTGGATCCTCAAGCACTTAGTCCCCTGGTTCCTTGCTTAGTGCTGAATGGGTATTGCCTCCTCTGGGTGGGAAAGCAGCATTACTGTGTCTTATCAATGGAAGTCATCCAGCGCTCAGCACATCTTTGTGATCCTTGTAGATGCAAAAGTTAGCCCATTGAATTTGGGATGCTTAAACTTGGCCTTGGTCTGTTTTTTAAAATCTTAGTCGATTCTTTTTTCAAGTGCCCAACGTAGGCTGGGCACTCTGCAAACAAACCGCTGACTAGATTTCTCATCCCAATGACTTTACATTGGGATGGCATATTTGCATGCAAATAAGACAAAGCAATTGAGCTAGCGTTGATTGGTCTTGTGGTTCCAGCTCTGTGCACCACACTCAGTTTGCAATTGTTAAATTCCATAGATGCGAAGGGCAGTATTGAGCTTTTCACTTTAACAAAGGCTAGAACTGGTAGAATGATGGGGGAGGCTAGAGATGCAATGTCATTATTTTAGAGGCCTTGAGCTAGATGTTTAGCTTGTATAAATCATTTGTGCAGCTCCAGTGATTTAATGGAGCTGGGCTGTTTTACACCAGCTAAGGTCTCTACAATTTGACCAGCTATGTAATCACTGCATGTGATTAACGTACACAGTACCAGGGCAGCAAGAGAGCTCCAAAATTCCAAACTTTTTTTTTCACCAGGCTTAGCAAAACAAACCAAAATTGACAGCCTGGGAGGATAACAGATGAGTGCAGAAAAGTTTCTAAATGCTCCAGGACATTTGCATGCCAGGAATCTCTCTCTGGATTTTACTTTCGTAACTCCAATCTATAATAAGATATAGCTGCTTCTAAAAATAAATAAAGTAAAACAAAAGTCCAGTCACGAGTTTTTATACTGAATATGAAGATTCATGTCAACTAGCAGCATGAAGATGGAAACTTAAAATCCCTCATTATCTAACAATAGCACTGTTCCCCCAAACCAATACAATTTACTGTGTAAAGGGGAAACTAATCTGGATAATATGGAGCAATTTTTGTCTTGACGGTCAAAATCCCTAAAAGATTCATTGGACACCATTTTTTCCCTTGAGCTCCATAGCATCTGGGGTTCATTAAATGAGTTATTGAGCCCTGGATGCCTTCTAGTCTCTTTCCCCACTGGCAAATCCATAAAGAGCCATATTGGGTGTCCTTGATTCACTGACTACATCATGATACCTTCAGAGAGAATCCCGTTAGGTGCCTCTGGCCCCTTAACTTCAGTAAATTCAATCAGGATGAAAATCATGCTTCTGCAAAGCCAGAACAAGGCCTATACATCTCTTAAGGGATTCAGGCTGTGTCCATGATGCACAGGCATCTCTGCACTACGTTAATCTAGCTAGCACATTTCCCAAGAGCAGTGCAGCCACAGCAGCACAGGTTTCAGCTTGGGCTAGCAGCAGCATTAAGTCCCCAGGGTCCTGGAAAGGACTGTATAGTCCACACTGCGGCTGGTGCTGCCGCATTTTCACTGTTTTTAGTACCCAAGATTAAAGCAAGTGTAGGTATTATAAAATCATAGAAGTAGGGTCAGAAGGGACCTTGTAGATCTTCAAGTCCGACCCCCTGCCTGGGCAGGAGAAAAACTGGGCTCAAATGACTCCAGCCAGGTAGGCATCAAGCCTCTTCTTAAAGACCCCCAGGGTAGGAGCCAGCACCACTTCCCTTGGAAGTTGGTTCCCGATCCTAGCCACCCTGACTGTGAAGTAGTTCTTCTGGATGTCTAATCTAAACCT